GGGAGAGAAAGGAATAGCCACGAAAACGACCAGGACGAGCACCAAGCATCGGCTCCTGGAGACAGACACAAAGGGGCGAAAACCGCGAAACCAGAAGTTGGAGTTCGAGGAAATTGGCGTAATAACCTCGAACGTTCCATTGAAGAATGGACAACGACGAGAAGAGAAAGGACAAAAACAGAGAACAAGGAAGAAACAAAGGCGAAAGACCAACAGAGCACGTTAAAGAATATCAGGGTCGGGATCAGGGTCAGCAAAGTCAGGGTTAGGGGGCATGGGTAAACTGAGCAAAGACGGAGGGAAGGAAACGGGAGAACAGATCAGAGGTGGGCGGGCAGGGTCCGGAGGAGGAGGAGGAGGAGGAGGAGGAGACAACGGAGAGGAGCAGTCAAGGACAGCAGCAGGAAGAGGGGGAGTAGAAAGAGAGGAGCGCACCCCAGCAAGAGCAGCAACCGAAAGGGAAGCAGGGGCCAAAGAAACCTCCATAGCAGGAACAGGGGGCGCAAGCACTGAAACGGGAGTGGAAGGAGCAACAGAGCCAGAAGGAGGAGCTGAGGAAGAAAGCGAAGCCTTCTTACCCGCCGGGGAAGAGGAAGGAGAGGAGCCAGGCTTACGCTTCTGACTTAAAGAGACCGGTGTCCCAGCAACTACGTACCGGGCAACGGATTCCAGTGTCTCAACAGGAGAAGCCGAACGAGAGCACACACGACGGCCGTTAGGAGAGCGATGGACATCCGCCCGCACCGACAGGCGGCGGGGAGAGCCGATAGATGGAGGAAGAGGATGGGAAGGAGGATCGGAGGGGGACGAGGAAGGAGACACAGAAGACACGACAGACCGGGTAGAAGGAAGGGGAACCCCAGACAGAGGACCAGGAGGAGGATCCTTCGGGAGAGAACCCAAAGGGACAGAGGAGGGGGCAGTGGGCGCATCAGGGTCCAAGGCCTGGAAACGGTTGTGAGTCTGAGGAAGGCGGGAAGGACGAGGAGAGGAAGAGCGCAACACGCGAGCATAAGAGATACTAGCATAAGGAGGGAGCCGGCGAACCTGGCGCCTCGCCTCAGGAAAAGATAAACGCTCCCGGTGCTTCAAGTTGAGGACGGCTGCCTCAAGCTTGTAATGGACACACGCACGGGAAAAGGTAGGATGGGCCTCACCGCAGTTGAGGCAACGAGCCTGGGGAGAAGCGCACTCCGACCTAGAGTGACCTTCGCCACCACACAAAGGACAGAGAGAGACAGTCCCGGAGCAGCGGAGGGCACCATGCCCAAACCTCCAGCACTTGTTGCAGAGCCGAGGAGAAGGAATGTACTCCTGGACAGAGCACCTGGCACCAGCAAGAATGACAGAGGGTGGAAGGGTCCTACCATCAAAGGTAATCTTCACAACCCGGAGGGGTTGACGGCGACTACCACGAGGGGGACGAGTAAACGTGTCCACCTGGAGAATAGAATGGCCCTGGGCAGCGAGGATATGTCGAATATCGTCGTGGCAGTCGCGTAGGTCCCGAACACCGGTCGCAACATGGGGCGGGAGCAAAATAGTGCCAACACTGGCATTCAACTGGACGTTCTTCGAGACCCGAACGGGGGTCTCGCCAAGGCAGGATAAGGCAGCCAAGCGGGAAGCAGCATCCTGAGAAGGAGCAGCAACGACACGCGTACCGAGACGAGTGGGGTTAAAAGTAATGGAGGCATCCACGGAATCAATGAGATGTCGATGAAGGGAGAAATCGTCAGGAGGCGCAGAATCAAGAGGGAGGAGATCAAAATATTTGGCCCACGAAGCGGGACCAAACAAGGCTTGATAGGTAGCAGAACTGGAAGGAATCGAGCGAGGGCGGCCGTGACGAGAACGGCGGTGAGAACCCCCAGAGAGAGAGGGGTTAAAAGGCGCAGTAGTAACAACTAGAGAAGGAGCCGCGCCAGGGGACGAGGTAGTCACCACTGGGGGCTTGGGGCTCGACCCAACCACAGAGGAGGGAGGGGAGCCAGGGGAAGGAGTCAGAGAGGCCAAAGGAGGAGCAAGGTCGGGGCCCAATGCAGCGGAGGCTACAGAGCCCGGTCTTCCAATACGGACCGACTCGGGGGCTTGGTCGCCCACCCCACGAGCCTGAAAAGGTAAGCCAGAAGCAGCCGAAACAGGGGTTATCATCTTGACGAAGTTACGAATTCACTCACGAATGTGCCCCCACACCCACCATGGAGCCACAATTAGAGGCAGGACACCCAACAAGAAGCTATCGCCGATCTTGTCGGGGCCTCCTAGGGGTGCGTCGTGAGTATACGCCCCACAAACGCCACCTTAAGAAACCGACAGTCCGTCGAGATCGGGTTCAGTGACGAAGTGGGGATTGACAATAAAAGGTTCCCCTCGCTCTCGACGTCGGGTACTGCAGTTCTACGGGTGCAAGAGTATGCCTCCTCAAGCACCCGGGCGTCAAAGTAGAAGAAGTCCAAGGGAAGAACCAGAACGAGCAAAAGGTCGGCAGGAAACGGCAAGCAGATAGGAGAAGAGGGGGGAGAAAAACGAAACAGAAGGAAAAGGAAAAGATGCCCAGCAGAATTGGAGAGGACGGCAGCAGGAGCACAAGGCTAGAAAAGGACAGAGGACTGTCCCAAGGAGCATCACACTCCGGCAGCCGCCCACTAAGCCCCCAGACGGCGACAACGAGCTGAGCGGGGAGGGGGAGAGAATAGTTAAGTGTGTAAGCTTGCACGGATGAGTGTGGATGAACCTGTGTGCAGCGTGTCATTCATCTATGTGCACTTATTTATCCATGCTTTCCAAACATATTTCTCAATCATTCATTTCACATAACGTGCATGATAAGTTATAGATCTTAGATCTACACTAGTCTTCTTCCTATACACTATGTACTGGTAGACCAATATAAATTGGTCTCGGTAAAGTAACTCTTCCCTGCTATTATTATCTTTACCTAATATGATCTTAGCTCTTTGGTGTATTAAACTATTTAAGTCAACTTTAAACAGTACAACATACAATTGTTCTGTTCGTAACATATAGACCATCAAAGCTCTTTTACATCTAAAGTTGTTTTGTCTCGCCCCTCTTTTAGCATAACTTACATCTTATGAATATTACTAATTCAACAGATCTGGTCTTCCAACACATCTATTTAAGCTTCGTGTTTGTTTACTCTCAAATTTGTGTTCATTTAAAATTTTCTTCATTTTTTGGGGTGTGTGAAGACCCCTGGAGAGGATGGTTATATTAGGTGGAGGGTGAGAACATGTGCCTGCCTGGTATGGAGACTGGCACACAACTGGCTGACCAAGGATGTGGTGAGCAGATGTATGAGAGCGGGGCGGGTGAGCCCGGATGACTGACGAACTTACTAACCTGTCAGTACTTGGCTATCCCCGTATATGGGGCATTCACATTGCATACTGGTCTAAAAATCCATACCTATTCTGTACATTTCTCAAGCTCTTATTGTAAGGTATACATACATCCATTCTTATTATTATTGTTTTTAGTCAGCTATGTAGTATGCAGACTTGACTCGCATCACTGTCTAATCATATCGATCTTCGTCAAAGCTCAACCTCCGCAAGCACAACTAGGTAATTACTAGCCACGCGTACCCCCCCCCCCCCCACTACCTTACAATATTGCTGGACCTCACTAAAAATAAGTGAATGAAAACACGTGTATAAATGACATTAAAGTTAAGAGGTGGGACCAAAGAGCGAAAACTCAACCCCCATAAGCACAACTAGGTGAGCACACCAGAAGTGGGAATCGAAAATTACAATTATCGATCAAATTTGATCAACCAGACTATTCTGCTGTCCACGGCGATGGGACGTGAGGAAGGGTTGGTGCCTGGTGATAGCTAATAACTGTAAATCTACCACAGGGGAACATTAGCAGCACAGGAACTATGAGCATTATGTGACTTAAGTACTATAGTATCCCGAGGACAAGTTGCCTCAAGCATATGGCCTCCAACACTGAACAGACATTATCTTACAGTATAGATATGTTTGACTCATCTCTCGTCACCTTTCTAGTGAGCACATTTTGAGAGCCTCGAGATGCTCCCAATAGTTTAGGTGCTTTATCGTGTCTGTGTGCTGTAGAGGTTCTCTGCAGACTGCAGAGTATGCCCTCTTATTTTGGTAATCTTGCCTGCTCTGATAGTGGAAGATTATCCAGCAGTACTCAAGGTCAGACAGCACAAGTGATTTGAGTAATATGAGTATTGTGCTGGGATCCAATTTCGGGTACTGCATGGATATTATGGGTAATTACAGTACAAACTTGTGTTTGCCAAACTTTGGGAGTGGCACCCCATGTTACAACAATCCCCCTCCCCACAAAAGTTTTACAAATCAAGATTATGGGAAATTACAAAATCTAATTAGTTCCAATACTTACATCTTGCACATAGAAATATAAATTTCTGTAAGGGTGACTCAAGCTGCCCCGCAGGCTCCAGAACCTGCTCTCACGAACGCAATTACTCAAAATGAGTTCCCACCATTCGGTCATTATATTGTAAACTGTTTACAGAAGTTCACTCAGGGAGACCCCATTGTCATATATAATTTTAAATTATCAGTATTAACTTAGAATAAACAGTCACTGTGGCAGGGCAAGATCAGAGCCACTCTGGATTTACAAATCTCTGATGACAGTAAATGACAGTCATTTATTTGCCTAAGCAAACATATGCAGACTATCTACACGAGTACCCAACCACTTTGACTGGACCGTTCAAGTAGTTGGGCACCATTCCTTACCACCGTCCCATCCCAAATCCTTATCTTGACACCTTTCAAGTGCTATATAATCGCAATGGCTTGGCGCTTTCCCTTGATAATTAAAACAAAATCTATCTACATTAGTGTCCCTATTGTATCGGGGCTGGCATGCCAGACACATGGGAAACACCATGATAGTGCTCACTATCATGTGCTTCACAGTTGAAGGTGAACCTTATGTTAACCTTAGGGTAATGAAACAAATAGTAAAGGGTAATTTATGTATTAAATCACAGAAAATTTGTATACACAATTATAATAACGCACTATCTATTAGTATATGTATACAGCTAACCTTTGTAACACGCAATCTATATCCATTTACAAATTACAGTTTTTCAGTTGATCAATTCGTGCAATACATTTTGTAGTGACAGTTAATTTTACTTGTTGCAGTATTAAAAAAATTTACTTTACACACTACAGTTTTTACCTCAACAGTGAGTAGTGTTGAAGGTTCATCGAAGACCCCGTTGACAGTTTTTCTATCAATGTGTTACTAAAGCAAGTGGAATACTGTACTCCAAATGTATACATTGATCACGTTTAAAACAATGAATTCTGCTAAGTACTCTATTTACTTTGGTTTTATATGAGGCACTATTTTGCAAATGTGTCATACCTAATAGCCAGTGTCCAAGAAATCAATTTTTCTTTAAATGTTAAATTAAAAAAAATACTTATGGAATGATAGTTTTTCATTGAACACACATGATGATTTTGTTAAAAAAAAGTAAAAAATAATTTAGAAACCTGACAACCTTAATATGCCAAGTTTTCTCAATACTAGCACTGTCTAACATTGCTAAAACTAGGCCTAATTTAGAAATTTATGGTCTCCATTAACAAAAATCACTAGCTAGATAAAAAAGGACCCCATAACGTTCTAGACATAGTGCAGTTTTGGCTAATAGGTACAACAGATACGGTATATATATATATTATTGTGCATGTGTGTACAGTATATATGTATGTTTTGCTCCATGCACTTATTTTTATCTCTGGTCATGTCATTCATCTAAGTATTGTAGTCTTTCCAGTAGTTTAGCATCAGTCCCAAACATGTACTGTATACAGAAGATCACAGTCTGTATAGATGATCTACCTAAAGGCATACCGAGTTATATGAACATGTTTACAGATGATGTTAAGCTACTAAGAAAAATAAGGGTTCTAGATGACTCAAATTATGTAAACAAAATGAGCACATGCAGCAACACATGGCAAATTAAATTGTGTGGATAAATGCCATGTAATTTAATGCAGGGCAAGTCAGACCAAGCACACTCGGTCTAACAAATCATGTGAAAAGATGCCACAGAACCTGACTTTATATACAGGGTACTACTTAATATGTCCTCATATTAAGTAGTATATAAATAAAATATAAAAGGTACAGAGGCATGCAATGATGTGGGCACAAGAATTGGGTATGCAAGGTGTACCAATAGGAACTGCCTTCAGAAGTCTAAGGAATCATTGAGGACCTTGTATGCCAGATATGTCGGGCTAAACCTGAAATATGCAGTATAAGCATGGAGTCCTTACTAAGTAAAACACTAAGGAAGTTGGAAAAAAAGTCTAGAGGTATGCCTCCAGACTAGTCAGAACTATAAGTTATAAGTTTCAGGAAAGGCTAATTAAATAAAAACTAATGTTAATATAAGACAAGAGCTAGGGAGGACACGAGAGACCACAATTCCACTCTTATAGGAATTGGAGCAGACAAGGACATTATCCTGGGATGGGTGGTACATGAACAAGGAAACACGGCCAGAAACAGAGTACCAAAATGAGCTACAGATGCACTAGAAATCGCTTTTCTGTCATTTGTGACCAAATGGAGAGCACATAGAAGTGAAGTGATGGAGGATGCCATACATAGTTCAAATACAAGGTATCATAAGAGTCTAATGGTCAGGAACTTGTACACCAGTTTATTGAAAGTAAAAGTGAGCAGGACTGTAAAGGTAAAGGCTCAACCCTCTCCCTGCACAATTAGGCAAGTACATACACTTGAATGTTCCAGTACCACATTCGTTCATATTTTTGGGGAATACAATATGATTTCTTAGCACTGTTGCTTAAAGGGAGCATGTTTATTACATTTTGCCAATGTTATAAACAAGAAAGTTGCATAATATCTTCACCCATTTAGTACGTTGTATGGAGATATTAAAAAGAATGCTGAAAGAGGAACACAGAAAATATTTAAAAACAGAAATGCTGTATCCACTGAAATTTGTTATACTGTATTCCCTGACATTAAGTTTTGAAAATCTCGAAGATGACAGCTGTATCTCCACGAGTTTGGTAGCCTCTGGGTTGTCTTTCCTTTCATTAGCTTAGGTCACCCAATTGTTTCAGCCAGTATAAGATAAGGATTCTACCAGCCAGTATAAGATAGCCAGGAGGCTACCAGCCAGTACAAGATAACCAGGAGGCTACCAGCCAGTACAAGATAACTAGGAGGCTAAAGTTTTCAACATTCATGTATCAGCCAGTTAACTAGCCCCCCAGGCATGGCTCCAGGCTTTGCCCCAGGCCAAGCATCCGGGGGGGTAGAAGATATTCATTTGTAACTTTTAACCAATCACCATAAAGTTACTTTCCCCAGTCAATACCATCAGAAACTTTCAAAAGTTGAGCTGTCAGCACAGCATATCAAATTCTGTACTCTTGCCTACTGCATATGTTTTGTTGAAGTTAAATCTGTAATCTGTTCAGAGTCGTCTCATGTGGACCTTAACATCTATAAATGTTACAAACTGGAAGCAGAAGTTTCATAAACACAAATACACCATACTAGTCAAGGTAAATTAAATAGGTAAGGTAAGGTTATTAATCATCTGGAACATGCAAGCGAGCCTGTGCAGCACTGTTGCCTCCATTATTAGAATTAACTGCAATGCCATTAATAGTGACCCTGGTTGGAGAGCTAATAGACAGAATTTCTCTTGAGTTAGCTTCTACTGAAGACCCTCCAGATGTTGATCGATTACGACGTGGTGGTACAGGTGGTGCTCCAATTGGACCAGAAATTGTTATTACTGAATTTCTCTGCTTTGTGGGTGGTGTTGGAGCAGCGTTTTTAGACCACTGTCCTGCTTTCTGTTTCATAAAACCTTTAAGTGCATCACGTGCCCAATAGAAATAAGCAACAAGACCAACAAGTATGAGGAGTATAAGCAAAAAGGACAAAGTAAGTGCCACGATGTGTCCCACGTGGTTGACATGTTCTTCAGCATCTAGAGTAGGCTTTTCTTGAGTGTCTACATCTACTTCATTGTAATCATCGTAGTCAGGCACAGTGCTGGGTGTGTCATCAGCGGAACCGTCCTCTTCAGTGATGGTAATATCAGCACAGGAGCGGAATTCTTCCTGTGGGCCGCAGCCTACCATACCTGTTCCATTTTCACACTTGCCCCAGTTGTTGCCAGCTACATAGCGCCATTGTAGTACACACTGAGTGCACGTTACACCTCGAGGAAGACGATATTTGGCATAGAACTTCTTGGCACCAGGTCCTGGGAAGTACCTGGTGAGGAAAATGAAATATTTGTTTCATTGCGACATGTCTGATTTATGCAAGTGGTGTAATTTATATAAATACTGTATCTAATATATTTTATGCCATGTATCTTAAACTTAGGATACTGGCATATCTTTTACGTTATTTATTTATTTATTTATTTATACATATACAAGAAGGTACATTGGGATTGTGAGGATACATAGGATAGTAATTACAATCTTGTAAAGCCACTAGTACGCGCAGCGTTTCGGGCAGGGATTATACAATAAGTACTTTAGCTACTAGTTATGTACCCATTGAACTGCCATAATTTTATTACAATTACCTAACCATACCAGTAGCATAAGCAATATATATACTAGCTGAAACCTAACTATCCACCTCTATTCTTCCATATTTTTACATGCAAATTCATGTTATAACAAATTCAATGAAATGGGCTAAATGGTTCATCTTGCAGTGTGGAACAAGACGCCTATTAGTCTTGATGTGAGAAGGTGATTTTTTCCAGCTCAATCTCGTGTTTGATAAGTGCTTGCGATGTGTAACCTCTTTATTCTTGATGTGATTATGTTTGTGTTTAGGTTCATTTAGAATGGCTGCCTTTTCCAGATTTAAGGTACTGTATCATAAAATGCTGATGTATTTGTACTGGGCCATTTATATCGTGCCACAGATGTACTGTGCCATTTATATCGTGCCACAGATGTACTGTGCCATTTATATCGTGCCACAGATGTACTGTGCCATTTATATCGTGCCACAGATGTACTGTGCCATTTATATCGTGCCACAGATGTACCGTGCCATTTATATCGTGCCATAGATGTACCGTGCCATTTATATCGTGCCACAGATGTACTGTGCCATTTATATCGTGCCACAGATGTACTGTGCCATTTATATCGTGCCACAGATGTACTGTGCCATTTATATCGTGCCACAGATGTACTGTGCCATTTATATCGTGCCACAGATGTACTGTGCCATTTATATCGTGCCACAGATGTACTGTGCCATTTCATTGAGCAGGAATCAACAAGATTGGATGACTACAGAGGGTCCTCATGGCTATGCTTGATGGAATGCCTGAAGTAAAATTCTTGGTGGGAATTATTTACCTGAAGGCCATCATCTATATAATAGCCACAATGGGGACAGGAAGCCAGCAGCTTGAAAAGGTCCCCCCCCCATTTTTCCTGACTATTTTTTCAAACTGGATTTTGATCTGTAATCGTGGCATTTATGGCTTCAGTGGGTAGGCAGTTTCAATGAGAGAGACAGTTCATCTACTCGCTCTTTCGTAATTTTGAAATGGATTCCCTCCACATTTATGGCTTTTGAATCCTTAACTTTGTCAATGACCTTCGCGATTGTTTTGGACATTGTGGGGATATTCTTTAATTCATTCTCTTTCCCTGTTTTAAACATTTGTGGGGGTACTGAGATATTGTCCAATTTGTCTAGTGGTAATACACTTGCCCGCTTCACGAGCTGCTGCTGTTGTTGTTTCAGGTTTAGCTACTCAGGACGAAGTGTCCATGTAGCACGGGCTATGGTGAGCCCGTAAGCTTCACGAGCGATTTGGCCTAGGTTTATATCGTGGCCAGGGAGGATTGACTAGGCGGCAATCCTTGATTGTACACCTCTGCTCACCCTGCAGTGATTGGGCACCTGGTTGTTTATCGATTGGCTGGTTTCCAGGGAAACTAGTGGGTAAGGCTTACCGTGAGCTTTGGGGAAGAAAATGCTCACGCCCTGCTAACAGTCATCTGTTCCTCTACCCGCCAGTGTAAGCAAAATGTAAAGTATTTGTTCGCTGTTACTGCCTTTTTATCTTCAATTAAAACTAGGTTAGTCTCATCTTTTAAGTAGGCAGAAAAAACAACCTTTCTTTTGTGCAAGTTGTGTTTCATAATTCCTTTTGGTTGATCCGATTTCCTAAGTAGCTGAATTTCATGCATTTCTGTAAACAGTATCTCAATCTGTGATGCCTGTGATTTAATATTACTAGAAAGATATAATGACACTTTCTCTTAATAGAGAGAAGCGGAGGTGGGGGGGAAGGGATTTTCTTCCATATAAAGATCCAGTACACACTATTATTCATTGATCTCGGGAAAATTAACAGATTTCCTGTAATTTAAACTATGGCCATAATCCCATAAAACACCTAATATATGTTCTGAACCCCTCTGGGGGGAGGACGAAGGTGGTGGTGGTGGGGGAGGACGAAGGTGGTGGTGGGGGAGAAAGACTAATATTATTGGAGACGTGTTTAACTGAGAACTCACCTCGGTCCAGTACCATCTGACTTCTGGAGGATATATTTGTTGAGACACTCGTCCGTTGCTGGTCTAGCCGGGTTGTTATGAGGGCAGAGATGGAACTCGAAGAAGCCGAAGTGGTTAGCGGTGAGCTCGACGCCCAGCTGGACCGTACTGCTGTGCTTGTACTTCTTCACTATCACCCCGCGCCCGTACTTCCCTCCGCCCTCGTTGTCCCGGGGCTGTCCTCGTCACACGGTCACCAATTATTTAAAATATTTAATGTGAATTATGAAAAATATGTAAGGGCATAATTTGTTATTATATTTAATTACATACAGATGTCAATAACGATTATGGGGCATATTTGTTTAAATTTATAAATATGTTCCTGAGCAGTAACATTTCTGGTTGTAGATATATATATATATATATATATATATATATATATATATATATATATATATATATATATATATATATATATATATATATATATATATATGAGATACCGATTACGGGCTATTCATGCCCGTGCCACCTCTTGGGTGGCTTAATCTTTATCAATCACTCAATCTATATGAGTGATCAAGTGGGGTTGTAAGTCCACTACGGGCTCACCATAGCCCGTGCTACTTGAAACTTTTGCTTCCGAGTAGCTGAATCTAAAAACAAGAAGATATGAGTGATAATGAGTGCAATCATTCAGAAGACAGATGCGTTACCTGGGGCAGATGCCACGGGTCGCCGCAGGGACCACACTTGCCACCATTGCGCTGCCACTGGGTAGCGTACCCACCACAATATATTTCATGGTCGTTGTAGTTTTGAGGTGTATTGAAACCATACCTGCAACACGAATGCATTGTACACTTAATGTGAAAATATTAATCAAATCTTAAACAAATTTTGTTTACAGATCCTTACAGAATTAGGCCTTATTATTTTCTATATTATTTCCACCCTTCACACAAGTGTGTGTGTGTGGGGGGGGGGAGGCCTGGGGGAAGATCTGCCAGCAAGGGGCCAGATTCACGAAAGCATTTACGCAAGCACTTACGAACGTGTATATCTTTCCTCAATCTTTGACGGCTTTAGTTACATTTATTAAACAGTTTACAAGCATGAAAACTTGCCAATCAACTGTTGTTATTGTTATAAACAGCCTCCTGGTGCTTCGGAGCTCATTAACTGTTTAATAATTGTAAACAAAGCCGCCAAAGATTGAGAAAAGATGTACAGGTTCGTAAGTGCATGCGTAAGTACTTTCGTGAATCTGGTCGAAGGTGGCGACGCGTAATTCTGGAAGAATATAGTTATAATATGTTGAAGCTGGTCAGTGTATGCGTTATTAGGGCATTATGATTCAAGTAAGATTCAAACAATATAATTCTATAAGGCTAACACTTTCATACTTATATACAGTATGCCAGTTGCTGATAGCAGGCTGGGTGACTGAGAGGCCAGAGGCAGTACCAGGCTGGTGAGTGTCAGGGTAGAGCACCAACCATTACAGCCATAAAACATCAATATTGTGTACAATCAAAATATTTAAATCTGAAGTTAACAGTAACACGAGTGAGAGCTGTGACGTCACCCTCACTTCCGGTTAGGGACAAGCATGGCTGCCATGCTGATAGGCAGTGATACATGTCACAAACGTGTTCTGAATCTGTGAAACAGATGATGGTTGTACAAGTTGAGCTTTATGCTGGATTAATATTGCACATAATGCACAAAAAATCAATTTGAGCCATACGGAGTATTCGAACCTGCACCACGGGCGCGACCAAGCACATATCTTAAACCACTTTACCACGATATGCTACAAGGAATGAAACCCGGGATTCAACTGAATTCACTAGTGTCTTGAGGCACCTCATACCAAATCAAGGTTTCCTATATGGTCAAGCCAGTAGCAAAAAAAATGAGCCTATTGTAAACATAAATCGACTTGAGAATGGTCCAGGACGAACCGAAACGTCGTCGTCCCTTCACCTTCTGGTGTGTGGTCTGGTCAACATCAGCCTAGTGTACATGTGTTGATGCCTAGAGCACAAAGGACGAAACACACACACACACACACACACACACACACACACACACACACACACACACACACACACAGTTTCAAGTGTAGATATGATAGAGCCCAGTAGGCTCAGGAATCTGTACACTAGTTGATTGACAGTTGAGAGGCGGGACCAAAGAGTCAAAGCTCAACCCCCGCAAACGCAATTAGGTGAGTACACACACACACACACCATGCTCTAGCCCGTTCTCATGATTTATCACTAAATAATCCAACCTTTAAGCATAACCAAAGTACAAACCCAAGCAACCCACCTTTCTTATCCTCTTACAACCATAACATGAAGCTACCACCACCACACACCTGGCCATCATCCCCGAGTTGCACCTCCACAATAACTCACCTCCAGGCTGTTGACCTGCCAGGTGGATCTATGAGTCTGCCATGACCTGTGACGCCCACACCCGCCCACGCCAGCACCACCAGCAGCGTCACGCCCGTCCACACGCCGCCCATCCTCTGCCACACCCCGCCCACTGCTTCAGGGACAGACTATCACACTCAGACACCAGCGGTCAACCTGCAAAAAAAAAAAAAACTTCCTTGAATTCAATATTATATATAATATATATATGCAGGCGATGAGTCACAATAACGTGGCTAAAGTATGTTGACCAGACCACACACTAGAAGGTGACTTGAGACAATCAAGTCACAATCGACTTTAGAATGATCCAGGACGGACCGAAACGTGGTCGTCCCTTCACCTTCTAGTGTGTGGTCTGGTCAACTCTCTCCTCCTCTCTCTGAGAGGAGGAGAGAGAAGGAAGGGGGGATGTTTGCCTGCCTGTCTGAGGTTGGAGGCCAAATCCTTGTCAACAGTCATCAAGGCCCTGGCGGGAACTACTCGGCGAGGACAGATTTGTCAGCATTAATTAATTTTGTTGGAGACAAGAAAGGTACCCATTTCCTGCTAGATTAACTGAGGCTGTAGGTGAAAGGCAGCGTGCCCAACCAATTTTGTTCCACACGGGAATCTCTATAAATACTGTCAAACTCCAATATCCAGATGACGCGTCAGATTTGGACCTGGGCAGGTGTGTGTGTGTGTGTGTGTGTGTGTCGTAACTGTGTACCAGCCGTCCAAACTGTGGGTACGTCGAGCAAATATCCTGGAATCAGCAGTGAGTATCTTTACTATGTGATACACAGGTGTGTACTGGCGACCAGGTCACACTGGAGGGAGGGAGGGTGTGTCTGTATTTACTATTTGTATCTGCAGTTTATTTTTCCTCTATTATGTCTACTACATATAGTTCTCTCACACACGCACGCGGACACACACACACATACACACACACATACACACACACACACATACACACACACACACACACACACACACACACACACACACACACACACACACACACACACACGCGCACACGAAGCAGCCCGTAGCAGCTGTAACTCCCAAGCACCTATTTACTGATAGGTGAACAGGGACACCAGGGTGAAAGAAACTGCGTGTGCGTGTGTAGTGGGGGGGGAGGGTTATCTGGCTGAAGAGGAGTGTGTGAACCTCAGTAATGTTGTGAGAACTGTGTTAACCTCAGAGATCAGTATGTGGTTCCCATCGTGGGGAACACCAAGCTTATCCAGGTCCACTGAGGTCACTATTGACCTTCCCCAGACTGCAACCCACAATAGTCGCCTAACCCCTCAGGTACCTTTGAAATACTAGGTGAACAGAAGCATCAGGTGAAAAGAAATATTATCCAAAAGTTTGAGTTTCTGATGGTGCGGAAGCATAGTGCGGGATGCAGCGAGGGGCAGCATAACGTTGGGTGAAGCTGGAAGATTAGAAGAGAGCGAGGGACATTTTTGGCGAGTAACTGGAACGTGGCCAGCGGGCGGGCGGGCAGGCAGGCAGGCAGGCAGGCAGGCAGGCAGGCAGGCAGGCGGGCGGGCGGGCGGGCGGGCGGGCGGGCGGGCGGGCGGGCAGGCAGGCGGGCGGGCAGGCAGGCGGGCGGGCGGGCGGGCGGGCGGGCGGGCGGGCGGGCGGGCAGGCAGGCGGGCGGGCGGGCAGGCAGGCGGGCGGGCAGGCAGGCGGGCGGGCAGGCGGGCGGGCAGGCGGGCGGGCAGGCAGGCAGGCAGGCAGGCAGGCAGGCAGGCAGGCAGGCAGGCAGGCAGGCAGGCAGGCGGGCAGGCGGGCAGGCGGGCAGGCAGGCGGGCAGGCAGGCAGCCTCCAGGGAACACTGGATGCAGCAGACTGGAGCAGGTCGAGATCGAGCCTGTTGCTGCTGCTCAACAGCCTAGTGTCTGCTCGTCAGTATAAGATCAAAATATTTGGTCCATATGCTTATCTTAAGATACTAACAAGGTTAGGTAAGGTCGGTGTTTTCTATGAATCTTTTTTGCTGTAGCCACCACCGCAGGAGGGACTCATGGGGGTGACGGGGGTGATCTAGGTGAACCTATTTTAGGTATAGGTTAAGTAATAATTGTAATTACGAAGCAATAAGATGCTTATCTTAACATACTAAGAAGGTTAGGTAAGGTCGGTGTTTTCTATGAAGCTTTTCAAGGTAAACTAAAATATTCACAATAAATTAGTATGTCACATATGCACGTATTTATTAAGTCAATATTGACTGTAAGAAAGTGCGAGAACGGGTTGACCCACCACGGAGCCCAACAAGGGCCGGTATAATCTCTCGGGCGATCCCAGGTGTAACAAGGAGAGTATAAGCAGGCAGCTAGTGAATAATAGCATCCCATGGACCAATAGGTATACCAATGCCCATGTGACCCAAATTCGATTAGGCTTGCTAGCCAGATTGATGGATTGATGCAATCGGTACCTTACCTTGAGGTTACCTTGAGGTGGTTTCGGGGCTTAGCGTCCCCACGTCTCGGTCCTCGACCAGGCCTCTCGCTGAACCTTTCATTTTACCCTTACCCCCTTCACTAAAGAAATGGAGAATATATGGGTCGCCATATCCAACAAACGTTGAGGCAGCTTAGCCATAATGGTGCATTTCGCTTCTGCTCTGCGACAACAGGCAGGAGAGGGAAGCAGACGCCACCTTGGCTCAGACGCCGGAGGGCGGTGCACAAGACCCTCTCATCACGTCACGGTAACACCCAGGAGGAACCTCGAGGAAGTGAGCTGTGAAGGAAAGTTGGAAAGTGGTGCTTGAGGGGCCGAGTGACCACCCTGGAGATAGTGGTGAGAAAAATGGCGAGGCTTTAATTAGACTGGTCGTTAACGTCCCAACGAGGAGAGAAACTGTCAGTTTGCGTGTTACTCGCTTGCGTGATCACATTTCAGGAACAGAACGATGTTCACTTGCGACAGTTAAGCAAGTCCCAGCTGTGTCTGGGTACAAGTGACAGGATGAACAATCCAGGGGGTTTTCTTCCTACTGGGGAGTGTTGAACATTCTGCTATGGCGGTGTGTCCACTCCCAGGATGCCCAATAAACTTACCCCTCGGGGCAAAATTTAAAACTTTTAATTTAAAACGATGCTCGTGGCGTCCATCACGTTGTATAGTTTACCATAAGTAACTGCAAAACTTTGAGAGGTTTTAGCGTACATTACCTTCTCTGGGAGCGAGTGTTCCCACCACCTGTCACTGTGTCAAGAAATACTTCCGTTTCTCAGTTTTACGCCGTTTTTCCGGTCAGAACTGTTCTTATTCTGCTTGTTCCTGGTAGCAACAAGTCTTAAACAAGTGAAACAAGTGTTTGTGGTTCCAAACAGACACATTTGATTTGGTAAAAGACTTCCACCATACAAACAATTGTTTGCTATGATGTAGTACTTAAAACGATTCATTCTGATGGAGGCATACAAATCTATTTCCTTTTTGTCTGGTTCGTTCAGAGTGAATATTTTACCCGAGTTTACTCGAGAGCCACCAACACTAGTTGTCTCGACGAGGACAAGAAGCCAGCGGCTTGTCGAAGGTCCCCCCAAACATTTGCCTTTATGATTTTTTCCACCTGTACTTTAAAACCCAACAGTTTTGGCATTAACGACTTCGGTGGGTAGGCGGTTCCATGGGTTAATAACCCTGTGGGTGAAAAAGCATCTCCTGTTCTCATTTCTAAATTGTGGCTTGTTGAGCTAGAAAGCGTTGCTCCTTGTTTGTGTTACACCTGACCATTTGAAGACATTTTCCGGACCAACATTCTTCAATTTGTTCAGTATTATAAACGTTTCAATGAGATCCACCCTGTCATGCCTGCTTTGTCGTGTTGTTAGCCCTGTGGCCCTCAACTGTTCCTGATACGTGAGTTGACTTAGCTCTGGAATGATTTTTGTTGTCCGGTGTTGCACTTTCTCCAGAGAAGCAATATCCTTTTGAAGATGAGGTCTCCCATGCTTGGATACAGTAACCCAAATGGGGGCGCACCAGAGATTTATACAATATTTTAAAAGAAAATATTGTATAAATTTTCCTTATTTTCTTTGAAATCGAAGGTACGCTTGAATATTCCATCATTTGGTTATTTCATCAAGTCAAATCAAAGGTTTATTCAGGTAAAAGTTTAAAAGTACATACATACAAGTTACAAACATAATGGTGGATTTCTAGAAAAAGCTAGTACATACAATGCCTAGAGCCACTAATAGGCACAGCATTTCGGGCAAGTCTTGCTGGTTCGCCATTACCTCTCGTTCCTGTGGGGCCGCTGGCATGATAGCTTAAATAGTTGCTTTTTGCTGCTTCCAATAGATTACCTTTGCGTGTATCTGATTCCTTGTGAATCTATATTTTTCCCAGTCTTATCTTCTGTGGTTGAAGTCTCTTATGATTAATAGTCAGGAGACGTTCCTACCGACGACACAAAATTATAGTAATCGCTGCCATGTTTCTGTCACACTCCTGTCTTGTATAGTTTATTGGAGGGTTGTATATCACTTTCCGTTTGAGTGCATCCTCGCACAACACGAGTATTGTTATCTTGAGATCTTGAGGTTATCTTGAGATGATTTCGGGGCTTAAGTGTCCCCGCGGCCCGGTCCTCGACCAGGCCTCCACCCCCAGGAAGCAACCCGTAACAGCTGACTAACTCCCAGGTACCAATTCACTGCTCACGTTATACATTTTATACATACACAAACCATTGTATCGTGGATAGCCACCTACAGCCTCGCCCAAATCTCCTAGACTTGAGTAAGAAAACTTGCCAAGTCATAATGAACCAGACAACCACCACCGCCAGCCTCGCCACACGGGACCACGCCACGAGAGGAGGCGCCCCTGGGCCCGGGGAAACACAAAGGACCGCGAGTAACCGACCCTGTGGAAAGGATGTGGGGGGGGGGGGGGGGAAAGGGGAGTGAAATACCTAGCCAGGGAGGGTTGGGAACATTGTCCCGATGCTCCAGGACAACAAACCTTCAACTTTCTCCCCCCCCCCCCCCGTGCCTCCACGCTCGGCCTCCCTGCACACCCACACTCGCTAGTTACCGCAGCTTTAATAGCCATTACTGCTGTTTGTGAACTGAAACGTATTCAATTAGTATATAAGGTGGGGTCCCTCGATTGTTTCAAGCGTGGGTTGG